ATTGTCTAAGCCACAAATGAGCTTTTACATTTGCCTAAGGGATATGGACATGGTTTGCTCCATGCAAACGAATTATGCTGCAGCCAAATCTGCAATATTTCATCATCTGTCTTCCAGAACTGGACAAGTACTTGTCTGTCTCTGATGACCTGCTTTCTTCTAGTTTCTTCGCTTAGTAGGGATACTAAAAACAGAGATCAAGGGTACCACTATCTCAGTTAGTTGCTTACCCACCATTTTTGCAGTGAACTACCATGATTTATGGTTGTATCATATACTACTCCCTGCAATATGTGCCAATAGCAGCAAACTCCCCAACACCCCTACAAAAGCAGCCTTGCAAACTTGCTCACCCAATGATGACACCACAGGCCAATATTTCTGGGCCCAGCATGTGATATCTCATCTAATATCTATAGGCTAATGTCTAACCATTATTTTGGGGTGGCATTGCTTTTTTCCCCGACATTTAACATACAATAGTTATAATATGTGGACAATGATCTTCCAAGAGGTCAAACTTTCAGGGCCCTGTAACTGATAATGAATCCATAGTTTCATACTAGGGCTGTGTGAAGCTTCAGTAGCCGATTTAATTCCGATGAGATTTGGTGGATGAATCAAACCCATTAATCTCTCCGAATTGAATCAGAAGCCTCCAAATCAATTTGGAGAGATTCAGAGATTTGGCCACAGACTGTACAGGCAGGCACCAGGCAGTGCCGGTGGGAGGAGCTGGGGGAGCAGCCAGACAAGCCCCGGCTTGAGCTGGCAGCACCAGGAGAAGCCACGGCTCATCCAGCTGCTCCCCCCACTGTCCCCCTGTCTGAGGAGAATGAGTGGGGAGCTGAGGGATTGAACCAGGACCAGGGGTGAATGATCATGAGCTGGAGGAACAAACAGGGGCTTCCCCCCAGCTCCTAGTTTGATTCCCCAGCTCCCAATCATTCCTCCGAGCCCCTGTGACTCCTGGTTCAAGTCACAGCTCGTCTCGCTGTCTCTGTCCCCTTGCTGGGGTGAGGCAGGCAGTGCTGGCAGCCCTGGAAAAAGCTGCGGGGGCTGGGGGAATGATTGGGAGCTGGGGGATCGAAACAGGAACTGGGGAATTGAATGAGGAGATGGGGGGAATGATCAGGGGTTGGGGGAATGAACAGGGGCTACCCCCAGGTCCAGGTTCGACCCCCCAGCTCCCAATAATTCCCCTTAGCCCCCGCAGCTTCTCCCGGAGCTGCCAGCAGTGCCTGCCTTGCCCCAGCAGGGGGACAGCTGGGGGAGCAGCCAGATGAATTGTGGCTTCAGCTGGTATCCCAGGGAGAAGCCACGTGGGCTGGGGAGAATAATTGGGGGGGCTGGAGGAACAAACAGGGGGTTCCCCCCAGCTCCCAGTTCGATTCCCCAGATCCTGGTTCATTTCTCCAGTTTCTGGTTTGATCCTCTAGCTCCCTGATCATTCCCCCAAGCTCCCAATCCCCATGGCTTCTCCCGGGGCTGCCAGCACTGCCTGCCTTGTCCCAGTGGGGGGGTACCCAGGGGAGCTGCCGGATGAGCCACAGCTTCTCTCAGGGCTGCCGACACAAGCCACAGCTTGTCTGGCTGCTCCTCCAGCTGCTCCTGCCGGCACTGCCTGCCTGTATAGTCTATGGCCAAATAAGATTCGGCACCAAATATCTTTGGATTTGGCCAAATCGAATTGTTACAGTGATCTGAATCACCAAATTCAATCAGTGTCCCTCCGAATCGCTGAAGCTGAAGTACTTTCCACAGGCCTATTTCATATGCCACACACAACTGCAGCTCCAACATCTGCAGTGAGACTATTGTAGGTATAGGCCAGTGCTTCCTAAACTTTTGATACTCGGATCATAATTTTTTGGTATTAAAATCAGCAGCACACTTCACTCTTACACGCAAAACGGGGGTTGGAGGGGGTGGAGGTGTGTTTTTCCAAAATATATAATTTATTCCATTCCCCTGGCAGAGGAAATCATACAAGTGCTGAGATGTGCTGTTAAAAAACCAAACCAAACCTCTGTAACTTTTCTGAATTTCACAACCCCCTAGTTGAAAATCACTGAGATGGATCCAACTTCAGAAAAGATACTGAAGGGGGTGCTAAGGTTAAAAAAAAGGTTGAGAATCACTGATTTAGCTGGTGCCATTTAAAGTTGGCAGGGGCAGGAACTTATCCTGTTGTGTCCAGCTCTTTCCACGGTCTGCCCAATCTTGACCCCTGGTCTGTACCTCAGGGAACAAGAACAACCGCTGCTGCTGAGATTGCTCTTGCAGGATCTCACATGCTGACGACTACTTTCAGGGCTTGGCCTGCTGGCCATGGGAGCATGGGAAGAGTAGACGGGGCAAACTGGCTCCAAAGCACAGCTGGCGGGGGTGGGGGGAGGAAGGGAGAAAGGGCAGGGGCAAGGAGTAGGGGAGGGCTGGGTAAGGCAGCAGCAACAGTAGTGCTGCTGGAGTAGCTGGGGCAGGTGTAGGGTGCCAGATGGGGGAGGAGAACATTTACTTCCTCACACGAGAGGGATCCATGGCACACCCTTTGGGAATCACTGCTATAAGCATTTACTGAAACTCCAAACCAGATTTAGGCAAGTTATCTAGCATGGTCTTCAGCAGCTAACAAAATTCTTTTTCAAACAGCCCCTCTGCAAAAATCCCTCCATGTGTCCATATGCCAGTGAAAAGTGACAAGTATTTAGGTAGTACTACACTCTGCAGGGTGCTTCTTACACAAAGCACCAGTGTATTACAAAACATAGTTCTGTTTAAGATTTTTATCATCTTTGGCTGCTTGTCAATGTCCATTTTATCTCTGTCTCTGGAGGTGGCCTTTCAGGAGAGAAAGAAAAATGGGTTTTTTTTGTAGTCTCCCTTTCATCTCATGTTCCTTCATGCATTTGAATGAATCTTTCATGGATTTTAATAAATTATAATTAAGGGTTATGCCAGGGTAGGAGAAGATGCACAAGGTCTTTCTGGTTGTATAGGGACAGGCACATGTATTCCAGACAGAATCATAACACACTGTTTTCTCTTTAGAGACCGAGGGGTACACCAGCTGACAGAGGAAAGGACTTTGGAATGGATTCCAGTACAGGAAACAACCAATTGAAAGACTGTAATAAGGTGAAAACCAATTGAAATAGGGTCACATCTTTATATACTTCTAAACAAGCTTCAGAAAGCTGACCAGGCAGCAGCAGCCAGTTTTAGGGGAACATCCATCTGAAGCACTAGACATGCTGCTACCTTTTTGGTATGTAATGACTACTAAACACACTTTGACAACCACGCAAGAGGCAGGGAGACTAGTGGTCACCTGGAGGAAGGCAGGAAAGGAGTGGTCTAGCAGCAGATTATAAATCCTTCTCTCTTCAATCTGCTCTTCCATCCATAAGGACCACCATGATGGCATGGCAAGGCTCATTACCTCCCACCTCAGCATAATCCAAGACAGGCTTATTCCATTGGAAAGCTATGATAACATGAGTTAACAATCACACCTACAATGGCCCTATTTTGCAATACTGAAAGGGGTGTTTACCCCATGTACTCCAAAGAGCTAGAAAGAAAACGGGTGTTCTGATGAGTTTAGAATGCTTCAAAACTTGCCAGAGAACCTTTCAGTTTTATAGGGTACAGCAGCTTCCTTCACTTTATGTTTCCCAAACCAACTGCTGTTGTAATAAACCTGCTAACATTATGAAATACCATACAGATGTTTATTCAATTTGATTCATTTAATTTTTAAATAAGTAATCTAATGAAAGTAATGGATATTATTCTTTTAATAGTTCAGTGAACAAGGACAGACCCAGAAAAAGCCCAGATACTCTCCCTAAAGGTAATTTTCATTGGACAAAATATTGAATACCTAGTTAAGTACTCATAATACTTTCACCCACTTTAACTCCTTCAATAGGTTCCTGGCACAAGGGACAGAAGACGTAGGTAACATTGAAAAAGCAGTCCAAGGTTTGAGGAGGTTCTTAGCAGGGACCAGGAACAAAAGGTTACCCCAAATCTTTGGCTTGCTCCCTTCTATATCATTCCTAACTGAATGCCCTTTGGTAACTCCTCAAGCATTATGACACTGCCAAATGTAAATCACAAAATTCCTCTGGTAATCTAAAGATGTCTCCCCCTCAACCCTAACACACTTGTAATTATCTTCATTTGCTTATAGCTATATTTAACCCTTTATTAAAGGCAGTTAACATGGCATTTAGAAAAATATTTAACTCTAAGGTTATTGTGTAAATTTTTAATTCTAAGATTTGTGTGTAAATTCTTTTCTGGGGTTTGAGTCAATTATAGATGTACTTATAGGAATAAAGTCAGTATATATAAAACAAAGTATTACTGGACAAGAGGTATAGCACTGTGTGAACCGAAGACATGGTTTAGTCTGTTAAAAGCTTTAAATGTCAAACTCTTTCTATGACAATAAAAAGTCATAAGGTTTTTTTTTTAATGTTCCTGACAAATAGGAACATTTATTTCTTTATTTCTGATAGGCTCAATAACAATACATGGAACACTTTTTATGTGATTTTATGACAGTAGTACAGAATTGAGATTTTTGCACAAAGCTATACTAGCTACACAAATGCTGTACTACATGATAACCTTTATTTTCTGCTCCCCTAAAAATGTAATTTTTACTTTAGATTTTAAATAGAACTCTAGAAAATTCTGAATGAATTGCCTTGGAAAACAGACAAACCTTAAAACAGAAAATTTTGTGTGCACTAAATGCACAACTGTAATCTTATAAATCAGTTATTTTCATTATCATAGAATTATGACATCAGGAGCTTGTCATAAGGCAACTAAGTCCCAAAATTTAATTGCATTTAAAATATGAATGTGAATTATTTGGAAGTTTTCCCTAATATTTGAAAGGATTTTGATGTTTGGTTAGCACAAATTGTCCCAATATTGTACAACAAAACAAACAAAAATAAAAAACTGTATCAGTATATCACTAAAGCAGTGGAGGCCAGCCTTTCTGACAGGCATGCCACAAATTTGCCCCACACACTTCCCAAGCACCACTCTGATCCCCTTTCTCTGCCCAATCAGCCATTCTGCTTTCTGCTCCCTGAAAAATCTGCTATTCTGTTTTCTGCTCCCTGCCCTACCTGCCTGTCCTCTCCTTGGTCTCCCACATAGAAGCTGCCAGTGCCACTTGACACTTGAAGTTGGCCATCCTTGTTCTAAACCCCTAGAAAGCAAAAATTCAATAACTAGTGTAGAGTAGGTCCATCTAACTGGCAGCATGCAGGCCACATCCAAGTTGTGCCTTCCCTGGCTGCTGTTCCCCTGCATCATTCCAGCTGCAATAGCAGGGGTCTCTAGGCTCCCCAACCTGCTCCCACACCAGGAGGTGGGCTGGTGCAGTACTGACTAGTACAGAAAGCTGACAGCGAGGCCAGGGCTGTGCAGTGGTACGGGGGACTGTCCATGAGGTACAACAATGGGGCGGGGAAGAGCAGCTATTTGGGTGCACGGTGCAGCAGTAGGACAGCAGGAATACCCACACAGGCACATAAAGCAATGGTGAGGTGGGAGTGGCCATGAGACATACAGTCTGGATGGCCCGTGGCTCACCCTGGTACAGCCTCTGGGCAAGAATCAACAGAAATGGTGGAGGGAGGAAGCACCCACATGGGCGCATAGTATGGGGTTGGAGTAGGAGCAGGGAAAGAAGTGCCCACATAAGTGAGCAATACAATGATGGGGGGGCAAGGCCCATTCAGGGCATGGCTCAGGGGGCCCATGACACACTGGTGCAGCCTGCGCAGTGTGTGGCCCCTGGCCAGTTACTAGTTAGAGAGTCGTGGTGTAGATTATTAAAGTATGAGTCTCAAACCTATTATAGGATATATTATAGTATTGATCATTTCAATATCTTTATACTATAATATATGTGAAGTGGGAGAAATCATTGAAGTTAAAAATGTAAGGAATAGCAGAAGTGAAATTATGATTGTTACAATATACTTGACCAGACTTACCAGAAGTGCCAATGGTGAAAAAGGTGGACAGAGAGATGAAAAGTATCAGAATGATAACAGAAACATAAGGGTGAGGACAGAAAGTAGGCAAGTCGTAAAGAAGGGCTAGTAATCAAACAAATCTTGATAGTTGGGTGCTGTTTCATAAGACACAAAATTTTCCTTGACGTGGTATTAAACAGAAATGTTTAGAATGGATGTGGTAGGGGAGGATGGAGGGCAAGCATCTGTAGCTCAAAGAGGCTCTCTTGCTCAAAATCTATCCATCTGAATGATAGGGCTGGCTAAAAAATTTATTAATGCCTCGTTTTATAAAGGCAGTAACTTGCATTATTCTGAAAACATAAACAAAATTATTCACCAATATATGATTGGATGTGGAACAGAACCACAAGTTGGCCCTCCATGTCAGTTGAATTTAAAAGCCATGCAGAAAATAATTTTTTTGTAGTGACTAGTGATTTTTGGACTTGACTTTTGGATATGTAACTTGAGACACCTTAAAGAGATTTCATTTCCTGAAAACCTTGAACACTCCCCTTTTAATAACTGTACCCCTTCAAAATGTGCAAATTGCGCAAAATGCCCCATCCCTTCTTCCCCACCCACCAAAATGCAAAAAACAACAAGAACACTTCAAAATTTAGGCTGTAATTTACCTGTGACATCTCTGATAGGAAACAGTCTTTTGAACAGACTGCTATATACCTTGTAAGAATGCAAGTTCATTTTAGTCACTAGTATTTCCGAGAGTAAATATTAGAGTATTTAGAGTTTTACAGGGAACACTGCTGAGACACACTGAACAAGATATATCCTCTAACCTCATGATTTGTTTCAATTTAAATTTTATTATTTATTTTCAAACAAAAGAAAGTCAATTTTATGGCATAAATCCTTTTGGTAAATAGTAAAAAAATAAAATAAAATGTTGACATTTTAGTTTTGAAAGAACTGGGGGACAGATGCCTTTACCAGGAAATATGTTTATAACCACTAGAAACCCTCTACATCCAAGATCAAGGCAATACTAAACTTGTAGTGGGGAGGTCTAAGTTTTCAAGGCTATTCTTCTTATGCATTCTTGGGGTTGTTTTTGTAGGAGTCCTTGAATTCAGTTTTTCACTGGAAAACCCCTGACATGGCAGACAAATATTACTTACAAAAATGATAGCAGTTACATGTAGTACAAGTAGTCACAGACTTTAGGAAGTACTGTGTCCCTGAGATGAGTGAATCATACTAAGACCACGTACAGACAATCAGTTTCTACCAGGAGAATCACTGCTCTCCCAGCAGAAACTGTACGTGTGCAAACATGCCTGCTCCAGGAGAAAAAATACCCATCTACAAAGAGGGAAAAATCACTCCTGAGAGTTTCTCTTGGGAGACTAAACATCTGAACACTTTCCTCCAGCTTAACTTCTGGAAACCAGAAGAAACGGAGTCATGGGGAAAGACTCCCATGCCTTCGAGGAACTCAGGTAAGCTCAGCCTGGAGAAAGTGTGAGGGCACCTGCTCTAGGCCCTCCAATAGACCCAATGGCTTGGGACAGACATTACACATAAACCAGTTTAAGTGATCAGAAACTGGTTTAAACCTGTAACAGAACAGACATTCAGTGCACGTAAACCAGTTTGAAAAAGGCCAAAACTGGTTTGAGATAAACCTGGTTGAATGCAGTATCAGACTTACCTGATTTGTTGCAAACTGGTTTATGCAAAGTCTGTCCCAGACCACTTGCTGGTTTAAGTTAAACCAGACTCCCCCAGCATCCCATCTGGACTGGGCAGAGCTCTGCTCTCTGCTCCAGTGACCTGGGCTGGCCCCTTCCTTCTGCTCTCTAGCCAGAGCAGGGGCAGATTGTGGCCAGATGCTGGCCTGGCATGGTCAGACCCTGAGACAAATTCCTCCCTTCGTCCCCTCTCCCCTTCTCCTCCAATCTCTTCTGGCAAATGCAGGGGACCATAGCTAGCCCCAGCTGCATCTCCATGGCTTGCTTGACCCATGCAGGGATGGAGTTAATTCTTTCCTCTGTCCCCTCTCTCCCCTGGAATCCCTGAGGGTTTGGCTGCAGTGGCTTACCTGCAGCCAGGCAGGGAGAGGATTAATTCCACCATGTGTCCCGGAGCAGGGGAAAAGCAGCAAGCTAGTCTCCTGTGTGCAGATCCAAGCCCTGCACCTGTGAGCCCAGAGCTAAGACCTTCAGGACCAGACTGAGAGGTGGGAAGTGTTGGCAAAGACCTGACTATCATCACACATGATGGAGAAGTAGTTAAGGGAAGTTGCAGACAGCTTTACCAAAGAATACAGAGAGCTACATTTACATTATAAAGCAGAACATGTAAAAGATGGGAATACCTAAATAAGCCTTTCTGAATGCCTGACTGTGAAGAGACACTCTGCCCTCCGGATTAGTAAAACTAATTCTTGTCTTCCTGGTTTACATTTTAAGTTAAACTAAGTTGTGTATGCTGTTTTTTACTGGGCTGTATCTTAGCTTAGGCAAAGACTGTGGGTAGCTCCCAGTTGTATGTTCTAGAAATTGCTGCGTTCAATACATGCTTACTTCAGACAAAGGAATTTTTCCCCATCCCCATTCCTCAGTCTGGTAGCAGCTGTCTCCCCAGGCTGGCGGCTGGCATCCTCTGTGTTGTGTTAGCTTCGGCTGGTGCCTGAACACACCCACTCTGCTCCAGCAGGGTAGGGTGAGAGACTTGGAGGGCGTCTCTCTTCCCTCCCCTTTGGCAGCGGCAGGCAGACATGCCCTAGTGCCCCCTAACTTCTGGCTTGAGCCACTGTAGGCATGTGGTTGCATTTCCTGATTTAACAGAGAATATCTGTTCAGTTATTAATCAGTTTAAGCTGCACAGCTTAGACTAACCTGCAAAGAGTGAATAAATTCAGGCTCAGGCTTTTTGAATGTTTATCCCTAGTCAATGAGAGGAAGCAGGCAGTGATTTTGCCGTGCTGCTCCTTCTGCTCACATCTTGTGCCTGGAAGTTGAGTGCAGGTTGCAGTACAGCCCCTCGCTTGCTTCTTGCTCTCGAGTTCCTGGTGCCAAAAGCAGGCAGAGCTTTGCTGCACTACTCCCTCTGCTCCACTGCCGGGCACTGGGAGCTGGTACTTACTTCTCACACCAGATTTCCTCAAACCACCGGGAGCCAAGCACAGGAAGCAGCAAAGCCCCTACTTACTTCTCACACTGGGACACCAAATGCGGGCAGGGACTTTGCCTGGCTGTTCCATTCCTACTGGTAACAGGATCAGACTGGGATCACCCCAGTCTTGGGAAGATACAAGGAGTAAGGGTGATAGGAAAGTTGCAGACTGAACATCTATACCTCCCCCACTCCTGCAGTCATTTCTAGCTGTGGAAATAATGCCAGAATTGAATATTTGTATGCCACCTGGGAGCTCTTTTTTGCTTTGTTTTTTTGAGTAACATCATTAAGTGGATCCATCGTCTCTTTTGTATGAACAGGTATCCAGAAGCATGCTCCTTGTGACAATCAGTGATTGAAACCAATTTCAAAAAAAAAAAAAACCAAAAAAAACCCAACAAGCCCCTCTAGTATTTAATCATTCTTTTTGACACACTGCTTTTATATGTACACTATCTGAGAGCACAGATGATGGGAAATATACATATGATTTGAAATATATGTTTGGAGAAATCAGAAAATGATTTCCAAGTAGCCACACTGAAGAAAGTAGGAACATGAATGAGAGGAAGGCAGAACTCAAGTTCATGGTGATCTAGCATTTAAAGGTGGAGTTCTCTTTTTTGCCTTGTATGACTTTAACCATAAACAAGTTCCCTTAGAGGCCACAAATCCTTTCCTATAAAAAAAAGTAGGAAGTAAAGAAGTGAACTGTTGTTTTTTTTTTTAATTCTTATGTTCAATGCAGGTAGCTTTTTATGACTCTATGAATACTTAGGGCATAGTGTGTTCCTCTTTTATATTTGTAAAATTAGGACAAAAGGAAACCAAAGTGATTTTCTGTAATGAATCTTGTGAATTGGCATGTGGATATAAGCTTATTTCATGCCTA